TGTCTGCACAAAATTTATACGACAACCTGACGGCAACGCTTTGCCTCGACTCCCCACAGGCTGGTCTGCAAGTTCTGTGTTAAGTGCTGGTGAAACGTCCACTACTCCTTTCAAAGCAAGGAATCTGCAGACTGCACTAGTGGTTCCCATTGCAAGTCACCGATCCTGTGGCCGGCCCCGCCGACCTTAACTCATCAGGATGAGGCTGCCGCCGCTTGCCATATCCTCGGGGTGCACCCTGTATGTGGATCAAAAACAGGGCTTTTGTGAGGGACCTAGTAACCATTACGGCAATTCACATCTTGTCACAGATTAACAATTTTGCACTTTAATAACCTAATGTAGGCTCATGCCTGATTTTGTAGGAGCACACAAACCTTGTTAAGGCCCTGAGCTGAGTAAACGGCATCGCTCCTCAACATTGCCCAACTGTGTATGTCCTCATATTAGGCTATAAGTCCCATAGCAACTAAGCTGCTGACATGTGGACAGATTCAAACTAAATCGTAACCTGTGGGTTGGCACCCTGCAACACTCCTGCAAGACAAGGACCCCAATTGCCGCTTTTACTGCCCCGCTGGGCGGTACTAAGCACTAACCGGCCGGAAGGACCGGGGTGAGGTACAATGATATGGACACTCCAGCGCCCAAAGCTCCTATCAGTAACTGATCAAAACACGGCCCGATGTTTGTCTTCTGGTTAGGAAATCACTGACAATGTCATAGAGACGACATGTACCCAGTGAATGTACAAAATTCTCCATATACGACAACAACTCTCACTGCTATCTACTGGTCAATGGACATTACTAACAAAATATGAAACTCACTGATAACCCATCGTTGACTATGACCCACAATATGGCCGGTTGCAGTGCCCTACTCACTTTAAAACTCTGTTCAAATAAAATTTGCTTAGGCAGCACCTTGACTGACACGTGAGTGGCGCCAAACTGTGCACACGCTAATGACAATTGCTCGTATGTAGGGCCTTTGTATTGATTCATTTATTTATTTGTCTATGTATGTACTTATGTTAACCTTCGAATGTACTAGTTAATCTTCCGCGGCCGTGGATTTCACCCACTCAAAGGGAAGGGGCCGGGGGCTCCCGCGGGCCTGCTTCCATCTGAAACTACTAGCCAGGAACTGGGAAAAGTAAAACGTATCCGTGTTTGGTGGCGCCCCTCCCGCCTCCCTATAGCCTACACCAATTGGCACCATGGCCTTTACAAATATGGGAGCAATAAAATTGGCAACAATAGTTTTATCAAATAATTCTTCTGCTATCTCTTGAGGCAATCCTCAAAGAACTGCACGCGAAAGCTTTCGGCATCTCTATTGGGGACATATGTTAGTTTTTCTTTTAATTACTAATTAATTAATTTATTTCTTTTTAAATGGCCCCTCTGGAGCTCTCTAACCACACACATAATGTCCTGCTTTCCCTGACAAAACCATGTTGATGTTGTTGAGGCGTCATCAATGGGCAGACATTGTGCAATTTACGTGTTTTATTTCTGCATACATCCCTATCAGACTAGGCCCCCAACCGTTTGCTCGTAGAAAAGATCAATGGTACCTAGCGAGAAACGGTTGCTCTCCGTGGCTTAATTGCTGCCCCAAGCTACAACACCCAAGCCCGCCTGCAGCACCTATCCGACAACCAAATCCAATTTGTTGCTGGCAGTTTTTTTTTTTTTTTTTGTCCATCTAACTCCCCCTCATTCTCAAACTTGCCATGCTCTACAAATTTTCACTTCTCATCGTCGTTGATAAAGTGTAACTTTTGGTTATGTTATGTCAAGGATGTCTCATACATTGGTATGCTGCATTCACGTTGTGTTGAAGCCTACGCCTTTTCTCTATAAGGATTACCCGTAGTTAGTCTGCCCTACATTTACAACTTACGAGCGCTCACATGGCCTCATAAAATCCCCACAATCTTCTTCATATTAACGCCTGTTCTACGTTATGCTGATTGTGGTAAGATTTGCAATCCTTGATTCTTACCTGGAATTTCGACAAGACACTAACGGGGAAACCAGCAAGTACTAATCAAAGCTGCATGCAAAACGCTCTCCAGTTCCACTAAAAGGAGGGTAGGTCTGAACATGTTGCTTTAGAGTGTGCGCTAATTCTAGGACAATCAGAAACTCATGAACATGCCGAGTCAACTCGGCCCAACACCCATTGTTATCTGAGCTTCAGGTATTACACAGTGGTAAAGGAATCTGCTCACCCGGTATGCATGAGAAGACACTCCACGGACTTGTCGCTCGCCGCGGGTTGTCAAAGTAACGCCGTGGTCCGGTCACGCCCGATTCTGGTGGAACAATGAGCACGCCGTTTGTCTCGGGTTCCCGTGCTCGGGGGGGGGGGGGGGGGGGGGGGAGCACACTGCACTGCTCAAGGAAGATTCGATGTCGTGATGTCCGAGTCCAGTCCTTGACCCACTCCGGAGCTTGGCCGGTCCGTCCGGACGACAACTCTCTGTCGGCGTTGCTAGCCCATGCTCGCTCGTCTAGCCACTACGCAATATCGTTCCAGACTGGATCATCATCATGTCAAGCTTTCGGAATCGTCGCCTCGGCCAACCGTTTCGATACGTCTGGGACTCCACCTCCTCCCAGTCGGGCGGTCGCCTAGGCGATTAAACGGGGCGATCTAGCTGCGTTTTTATCGAACTACTTCAAGTCGGGCAAATTCTCATTCCATGTTATTGCTGTTGTCATTCCGATAACAGTTAAAGAGTAGCAATTAAATGAGTTGATTTTCTGAACACTAAATTCCTGAAAGACGAGAGCCCCGACAATCATTGACTGTATCAAGCGTAAACCAAAAGGAAACTGAGCGGTCTTTGTGCCAGTGCTCTGGCATTGCGCGCGCTCTGGCAACTTGAGCCTTGAACTCATCATGACCGCCTGACAACCGATATGCAGACCAGACATCCACTAGCTGCCTCCCAGCGCGCGCTCAAGTTACTTCGCCCCTCTCGACACTCAATGTGTGACTGCGATGTGACCTTTCACAAAGGGGCCTGCGCTCGATTGAGAGCGCAAGCCGTGTTATTGTCAGGTATATCATAGCGGATGTAATATGGAATATAAATTTAATATAAAGTGAAAAGATGATCAGTAAATAATTATGTTTTTTTTTTTCAACGAATAGCAAAAGAAGATTGATAATATTATTCAAGTATGCAAACATCCTAATCATTTGGTGTAAGGCGTACATGACTGATTTGGCTGTAATTTCATGTTTTTCATTTGCAACGAATTTGAATGTTGGTGGGTATTAAGCTCACCCTTCTGACCAGGAAGAAAAACTTGTTAAGTGAAAAATTGAAGCTATAGAAATAAATTTGCTTTCTTAAGTTAAGACAAAATCAATATTTCAAAGAGATTTAAGATTGGTTATTTATGTTTGACCTAAATCTTATTTTTTTTCAAAAATTAACCGAGTAATGCTCAGTGTCGTAGTCGAGTCACCAACGTCGAGTCTGAGTCCGAGTCTCGAGTCACAAGCATCGAGTCTGAGTCCGAGTCTCGAGTCACAAGCCTCGAGTCCGAGTCCGAGTCACGAGTCACTTGTTGTTTACCAAACTAATAATCAACAAATATTTGTTCAATCATCCATTCTGTCTTTTTAAGTAAATCCCAGTGTATATAGTTTACCTGGAGTGTGTACATGTTCAGACCCAAAATGTGTTTTACGTTTAATTCCCATCCCTTAAAACCATCCTCAGTAATACCGGACACTAGGTACGGGCGCTAGGCGTGCGAGTGCGGACCCGGCAGTGGATACGATTTTCCGCGGCGCCGTGTTTTGTCTATGGAGTAAAAAAAGAAAGCTATGTTCGTCGCACAAAATTATACTTAACGTGATGTTTTTGTTTTCTTTTGATAAAAATACATGCCTCGAGTCACGAGTCACCAAGCTCGAGTCCAAGTCATCATGGTCGAGTACAAGTCCGAGTCCGAGTAACTTCCCAATGTGACTCGGGTCGAGTCCGAGTCACGAAAAATGTAACTCGAGTTCAAGTCCTGGACTCGAGTCCTACAACACTGGTAATGCTACATTCATCAAAGCTTGCTTTCTTTTACCAAAATAACAAAAGCGATAATGAATCCAGTAACTACGGTAATAGATTATGAAGAACGGTGGTTTGGAGGGAGCGAAATGGGTCATTTTACAATGGGTTATTTTTGTCGGTGAAATTCGGTAACAGATGACAGATTTATATTGATCAGATTACAAAGAAAACGTCATGCCTCGTTTTAACAGAGGGTCAGTGTAATATATTGTTTCTCATTACAGCACATTTTAATTTTGCGAGAGAGATTTGGCTTAAGCATTGTTCTGAGTAATGCTCTTGCATATGCCATTTTATGTAAAGATATGTAATACCCCTTGGGCATGTTTTCTTAATTCTTGATCAATAAGCTACTCCGTGAAGTAACTGTTATAAATTGCTTGTGTTTCGAGACTGGTCTTTCCAGAACTCATTCTGCCGCCATGGATGGAGCACTTTCTGTTAAGAGCTCCTCTAAACGAGGACTAGTTTTTTGTTTAGCATTCGTTTGTATCGGTTTTATAATGGACGTGTCTGGAGAAACCATTTGCACCCAGCCACTGTTACAAGCGTTCGTTGCTGCTAAAAATCGAGCACTGACAAATGCCACCATCTGGTCGGGTTCAATTGGTAGTCGTGTCACTTGTGTCAGCAAGTGTCATTCGTTACGTGCGTGTAAATCAGTTAACTACTATCAACTCAATCGAGTATACCATCTCAACAATGTCACACGAGTCGATGCCCCAAATAACTTCGTTGCCGACTAGGCCAGCGTGTACTTCGATGGTAATGGCGACACATCTGGGTTCTCCGTAGCGGCTTACAGCGATTGCCATAGTTTATTGGAGGCAGGTTACAGTGTGACCGGTATCTATACGATATTCCCTAGGGGGGATTTGCAGATGGTCTGAGTGTGTACTGCGACATGGAGACCGACCTTGGAGGCTGGCTTGTCATTCAGAGGCGTCAGGATGGCAGTGTCGACTTCTACCGCGGCTGGGCTGACTACCGCGTGGGCTTTGGGGACTTGGCTGGTGAGGTTTGGCTCGGCAACGACAACTTGCGCACCTTGAGTAATTCTTCTGGATCTTGGGATCTTCGAATCGATTTGGAGGACTGGGACGGCAACACAACCTGGGCCGAGTACGGATATTTCCGGCTCATCTCTGGACAAGATTACCGTCTGAGTTTTGATTCGTACAATGCTAATAGCACGGCCAGAGACTCATTGGCTAACCATAATCACAAGCCGTTTTCAACAAAGGACAAGGACAATGACTCTGGTAATAAAACGCAGAGGATGATAAAGGAGCTTGTTGGTACATGTGGTGTTCTGATTCAAACCTGAACGGTATGTATTTTTATGCGCCTTTACATATCAATTTTCAAGGCATCATTTGGAGTTCTTGGAAAGGATATTCCTACTCGCTGAAAAGATGTGGCATGAAAATTCGACGTTATTTGAACTATTTATAGGCTGCTTAAACATTATTGTGTTTAATTGCGGTCATGTTTAAGAAATTACCTGTCATTTATTGCTGTTTTAACTGAAAGATACTATTACATTTGTTTTTGTATTGAAGGCGTTTACTTGCCTCTAAAGATGCTCACACTTTGGGTAGTTTTTGAGAGAAAAAATAGATTTGCCATGCGATTCCTGGTCCATGCATTACCGGAGAAACCAGTGTCAACTGAATTATTGTCGGACCGCAAATCCAATGATTCGCATACGAAAGTGAAGAAAAAAACATGTTTTGCTAGAAAGCAAATTCGTTTGAGCAGGGGATGGCTCGAAAATAGCACAAACATATCAAATCTTCAGCATGTTTGATAATAAACTAAACAGGAAAGATGTAATGATAGTTACTCTTTTTCTGTTCGCCTGCAGTGAATTCACTTTCAAAGACTTTATAGGGATAATGCTCTGACTATAATTAAATTGGTATCTTTTCAGAAAGGGGTTAACGTGTCTGCTGCCACCTAGTGTCGAAAAGTTACTATTTTCCTCATGGTAAATTTCGAGTACGATTGATACTTTCTTAAAACTATTCCAAGGCAAACTTCGCTTCGAGTACAAATTCACTCCAACTGAGTAAATTCATTCGAATTTTGACAGTGGTAGTTCTTTTAAGTATAGTTTATTCTCAAATTCTAGTTTTAATATCTGGTCACAAGTTTAACTATTTGAAATTGGATATTATTACCTCTGATTTAGATGTCCTTACCCTTAAAACGCGTGTCAATACGCACAGGCTACTCAATAATTTCCGAAGAATAAAACTTAAACGATTTAGAATAAAAATCCCTTTAAATTCAGGTTGAAATACTCTGACAAAACTAACCAACTAAAACTCCATCTATTCGATTGAATTAATTTCAATCTTTAACGCGTCGAATGGAGTGACTTTTTTTTCTCTTTGAAAATATAAGAGTACTCTCGAAATGTAAAATAGCGAAAAACCACACAGTTCCCTGAATGTTACAATTTTGGTAGTAGATCTTGTATCACTATAGTGCTTGCATCGGATGTCATTAATTTGTAAATGAGCGCTAGATGTCTTACTTTGCCTACCTGATTTTAGAATTTTCAGAAGATGACAGCAAAACGCGTTTTATGTCAGCTCATTGGCGAGATGTTTTAATAAAATATATAACCATATTTCTGAAGAGCGCTGCGCCTCTTGTTGAATAAAAATGAAGGATACATCAAACCCTGGGCCAAGACATGTAATAAATAAAAGGTAAATGTAGGAACATAAAATGTATTTAACTATGCATGGGTAACTGTAGAGGAGGAGTGCAGCATGGTAATCTTTTCTTTTGAGGTAATCATTTCTTAACCCGTTGCTATGGTTACTCGACCAAAGATCCAAGTTGATCGATACAATATGAGAACCATTTCCATAGAGGTACGAACACAATCGGGACAATACATCAATGCACTCACTCGTATACGCCACAACATTATGTCCGTTGGTTTGAATCAAGTTTATTGTTTCGAAACGTGCCCGGAGACGAGGAGCAATCGAGCCAGCCAGGAGCGTTGAAGACCTGTGGCTGTCAATATCACGACCAAGGTTCTAATAACAATTGATTTATGCCATGGAGATACCTTCACTTGGAAATATTATGCTATGTGTTTCGCTGAAATTCCAACTATCACTTTGCGTTGACGTCAAAATGGAGGAGGTTCGGGCTTTGAGTCGCTCAAGTAGACAGGTACTTGTCACCTGTCTTTGGTAGGAGCATAAAATGCATGTAACTGTGCATGAGTAACTGGAGAGGACGAGTGCGGCAGAATAGCGTTTCCTTTGAGGTAATCATTTGTTAACCCGTTGTTATGGTTACTTGATCAAAGATGTAAGTTGGTCGATACGACAAGAGAACCATCGCTACAGCTAGAGTACGAACAGAATCGGGACAATACATCATTGTACGTATTCGTATACGTCTCAACGTGATCAATATGTCCTGTGGTTTGATTCAGGTTTATTTGTTTCGGAACGTGCTCGGAGACGAGGAGTAATCGAGCGAGCCAGGAGCGTTGAAGACTGGTGGCTGTCAATATCACGACCAAGGTTCTAATAACAATTGATTGATGCCATGGAGATACCTTCACTTGGAAATATGCTACGTGTTTCGCTGGAATTCCAACTATCACTTTGCGTTGACGGCAAAATGGAGGAGGTTCGGGTTTTGAGTCGCTCACGTAGACAGGTACTTGTCACCTGTCTTTGGTTTTATACTTTCTTTTTAAGCTTGCCCACGTCTCAAGGTACCTCTTGTGGTCATGCACTCTCACAGGAATTCAATGCTGCTGAAAATCGAGCACTAAGAAATGCCACAATTTGGTCGAATAGAGTTGGTACTCTTGTCGGCTGTGTGAGCCGGTGCCACTCTTGGCAAGCTTGCAAATCAGTCAATTACTTCAAGAACAATCGCAGGTGTGATATGAACAATGTTACGGGAGTCGATGTGCCAAACAATTTGGTTGCAGACTACGGGAGCGTGTACTTCGATGGTCATGGAGGCACACCTGAGGTCTCCGTAGCGGCTTACAGCGATTGCCAGAGTTTACTGAAGGCAGGTTACAGCGTGAGCGGTATCTATACGATATTCCCTGCGGGATTCGCAGATGGTCTAAGGGTGTACTGCAACATGGAGACAGACGGTGGAGGCTGGCTTGTCATTCAGAGGCGTCAGGATGGCAGTGTCGACTTCTACCGCGGCTGGGCTGACTACCGCGTGGGCTTTGGGGACTTGGCTGGTGAGTTTTGGCTCGGCAACGACAACTTGCGCACCTTGAGTAATTCTACTGGATCTTGGGACCTTCGAATCGATTTGGAGGACTGGGATGGCAACACGGCCTGGGCTGAGTACGGAGATTTCCGGATCTTAGGAGATGATTACAGTCTGAGTTTTGATTCGTACAATGCGGACAGTACGGCCGGAGACTCACTGACATTCCACAGTCATTGGCCATTTTCAACGAGGGACAACGACAATGACTTGGTATCGATCATTAACTGCGCAGAGGACGTGCATGGAGCTTGGTGGTATGTGGCGTGTTCTCAGTCAAACCTGAACGGTTTGTATTTTAACTCATCATGGGAACAGAATGGAGATAGGCGAGGCATAACATGGGTTTTATGGAGGGGTGAACTTTATTCCTTGAAAAAGTGCGATATGAAGACTCGATTAGCAATATGAGATTACTTAAACGCGTTATTTCACTTTGACCGTCAACCTAAAACGACGTGATATATATCCACATTCATTAACAACACCAAATTAAAACAAAAACGCGTAAAGCGTGTCTCCGAATTCACTGTTGTTACCACTTTGAATTTTTTTAGGGCATTAAACTTTAGTCAAGATGTGACATGAATGCAAATGCGAACAACCAGCAATTGAACATATTTTGTATGCTTATTATCACGATAAGCACTTAGCAAACAAGATTGTATCAGGTATTCAAACGTTTTTCCACTAATGCCAAAGTTCAGTTGCTTGAGCATGCATTACTCGAAAAACAGATTACTGCTATAGACACATTGGTGGAGATGTGACTGAAACTTAATGAATCTGACTATTTTTTTTTTATCGGACTTATTTGTTCAGTGTCAAAGCAAAAACACTCTGAATTCTCTCAAATAGCGACCGGATTCAATAAGACAGTTATACCAAAATGCTGTGCAATATATATCGGTGGAATTCAACTACAAGCCGGGACATCGCTTAGGCAAAATCTCTTTACTCTGATGATTAGTTGAATGCGGTGTATAATGAATTCATTTTTTTTTTACGATTGATTAGTGAAATTACTAATCAACTATTGCTTTGAAATACTCATGTAACAACAGACTTTCGACGTATGAAAAGCGGCTTATAAAAAGCGACAGAGAACAAATATAGTGGCCAAAAAGGAGACCACTCTGGTGGAGAACCGACGAGTTGGAACTCTGAAGGACGGAGGTTCGACACCAGCCGTAACTGAACTAGAATAAAGGTTATTATTCATTTGTCTGTTTTGAGGTAAGGGTGGACGAGTTCATCCAAAATAAACCAACATTTTTAGCTAAAACAAACTAACTTCAACTTCGTTAAATAGCTTTGTGTAGTTGAGCAAAAGAATAATGTTCTCCGAGGAATTTTATGAGCTTTTCAGAATGTGGCTTTAGCCGTTTGTTTACTTAGACCGAGATATTTTTGAGCGCTCAGCGCAGGGTTTATTAGTAAGGGAATAAGTGTGTGTTCGGGAGGTATAATAACACTCTGTTTAAGACCGGTTGGAGTCTGGAAGTGTGATAATTACCCGAGGCGAAGCCGAGGGTTATTATCCCCCATCCAGACTCCAACCGGTATTCGCCTCGGGTAATTATCACCCTTCCAGATTCCAACCGGTCTTAAACAGAGTGTTTAATACCGACCGAACATACATTCCCTTTCATAAATACCTTTTTGGTCAAACAAAAATAGTTTCCGTCCAAACATCAAAACAAGTCCAAACTAGACATTGCTAACCATTTTGCTCAACAAATTTGCTTCATGTTGCATCAAACACCCCGCTGACTACAATATGGATTGTCCCTCTACCCAGCAGGCACCGACCGTCAGACTGACGTTGTATAATGGTTGTTTTATGGTCGCAACGTCGGATCAACCATACATAACCGAAAATCAACGTTGTTTTAGTCGACCAAAAGCCGACGTTGTCATTATGACGTCTGCCAGACGTTGCTTTAGTGTCGACAATTTAACGTCAGAATTTAACGTAACAACAACGTCGAAATATAGTTGGAATTTGGTCGGGAATATTACCAAACGTAATTTCAACCATGGTATGACGTTGTTTTGTCAACGTCTATACAACTGACTGAAAAACAACGTTGTATTATTGTTATTTTTGCGTTTCCCTTCGCGACGTCGCAATTATGTCATGTTTTCAACCAAGATATGACGTTTGCTTTCTAACGTCGTTTTAACAACTCAAAAAACGACGTTGAATTATGGTTGGCCGTCGGTTATAATATCCGACGTCGTACTTATGTCATGCTTTTGACTAAAATGCAACGTCCGTTTTTGACGTTTTTTCAACGACTCAAAAAGTGACGTTGAATTATGGTCGGCAGTTGGTTATAATATATGACGTCGTTATTTGGTCATGTTTTTAACCATTATTTTACGTCCGTTTGCTAACGTCGTGTCAACGAATCAAATAATGACGTTGTTTTCCGGTCGTTTGATGGTTATAATATTTAACGTCATTATTAAGTCACGGTTTTACCCAAACTATAACGTCAGTTCTCTGACGTCTTTTCAGCGACTCAAAAATGACGTTGGATTATGGTCAGCCGCTGGTTATAATATTTGACGTCATTTTTAAGTCATGTTTTTAACCATGATATTACGTTCGTTTTCTAACGTCGTTCCAATGACTCAAATCGACGTTGTATTGTGGTTGGCTGTTGGTTATAATATCTGACGTCGTATGCTTTCAACCAAAACACAACGTCCATTATCTGACGTCATTTCAACATCTTACAAAGCGACGTTGAATTGTGGTCGGCTGCTGGTTATAATATTTGACGTCGTTATTAGGTCATGTTTTCAACCATGATATTACGTCCGTTTTCTAACGTTATTTCAACGAATCAATTAATTACGTTGATTTTTGGTCAGTGGATGGTTACAATATTTAACGTCATTGTTATGTCATGGTTTTACCTAAAATATAACGTCCGTTTTCTGACGTCTTTTCAGCAACTCAACGTTGAATTGTGGTCGGCTGTTGGTTATTTACATTACGTCGACAGTGTCATGGTTTCGACCAAAATATAACGTCTATTTTTCGCTTAATTTATTCAGCAAATAAAAAAGTCATTAAACCGGAATGCATGTGCAACGTAGTAATTCCCAAACGAAATTATCGAACGACTAAAAAAAGACGTTGAATTATGGTCACCTAGCTGATGGATATAAATTTGATGTCCAATCGTTATCATCATTGTTTTAACCGAAATATATCGTCCATTTTGAAGATTTTTCCACTTAGCCGCAGTGCGCGCTTATTATAATTACCTGGCCCAGAGCCAAGTGCGGCGCGCGAAAAAAAAATATAGCCAAAACGTATTAGGCCTACACGTAAGCATATGTATGCCCTGTGCGTGACCTTGCATTCCAACGAACTCCACTGCTGTACGAGTCTGGCCAGTTTGAATCATCCGTTAAACCAACAGTCACAACTGAAGCAGCTTTGGGAAGAGACATGTTGGCCCAAAATGAACAAGGTTTTTGGCACCTTTTGTGCACAATATTGTCAAGATTCGGTTCTGCGATGGAGTGCAGTTAACATTGGAGATGTTCCCACCCCTGATCTATAAATCCAAGTCAAGATACGACATCAAGATGTATAGGACAAGCACAAGTCAAGATTTTGATTTAACCGCAAGCAAGATGATCTGATTTTGCCATGTCTGAAAATGGTAAGTTTCAAACGCGAATGTTTCCGAGTTAGTGATTTGCAATTTCTTTGAAGGTCAATAGTTTGGAAATTGTATCTTTATTATTATTATGTACCCTACTAGTCATGTCAGTTGTAACTTTAAAATTCCATCAAAATACCTTAACTTCATTGTAGAAAGTTATTAATGTTAGACTAGATGTTGGATGCTATTGTCATTCCTTATCTTAAAAAGAAAGTTACACTAACGATGCCCTTTGTTTAAACATTGAAGATGTAGAAAATCCAAACTAATCAGCAGTCATGCTAGTTCTACCTGCTTTCTATCATAACGTCCAATCTTTATTTAGGCCTAGGAAAAATGAGGTTATTCTAAAGCATATCTCATTATGAGACGACTTCCCACACGTACTGTGTTGATTGAAGATTTAGAATATTAAATTTATTGTGAATTTAACCGCCCCGCAACATATTCCGCATCCATCACTAACTCAAACGATCGAAACGTCTCTTTCATTTTGATGCTGATATTTTGAGACAAATACGTTTTCAATCTAGTTTACGGTGTTCAGAGTTTGGGAATCACGTATAACGATACATTATGCCACTTTTCTTTTGTCGTGTACTCTATTTCATGTTTTATTAATACCAGTATTTACTATAAAATTGGTTTGTTGTAGTCTTTGCAAAGCGCTTAGAAACACGGCGTACGACGGCGCTATTAATGTTAATTTTTATCCTTGTAAAGAAAGTTACGGTGCTTGCAATTTTAAATTCTTCATTAATTAATTTCAGTAAAATTCGTTTCTTGGAATCGCATGAAATCGCCCATTAGAATTAAAATAGGCCTATGCTTCGACTTGTCTTCTTCATACATGTAAGAATTATTTTTAATACTTTTTTTGGATTTCTAAAAATTAAACTGCTGCTGTAAGTTCAAAGAATCTGTTTTGTTTTAATTATTTACGAGTCACCATTATTTGAAAAATGTGTTGGTATTCAAGAAAATTAACAATGTTGTTCATTTTTCCCCTTTTCCAGCTCTCTGCTTTGGTCAGTTGAGGGAGACGAATACACTACCCAAGCCCTACTTTACGTGGCCCCATGTACCATCAGGATCAACATCAACCGCCTGATGTCTTCTATACCTGCACAAATATTCACAAAAGAGATTAGAGATCATGTCTGTGTTGGTTGTGATTCCGCGTGGTAATGAAATCTGATGCCAACATTGATCGGCCTATTAACATTGAACATTTGAAGCGTCTAATTGACATTATTTAAGCCTGTCAGACTGACGCCACTATTTTGAATATTGATTAACGTTAGAAAACTTACTTTTTGTCACTGTTATTTCGGTTGTGTACTATAAGAACCTAGCCAACCAGTTTATGAAAAAAAAAATGAACAAGTTGTGTAATATTATACACAAGTTGTGTAAACAACGGTTTACACAACAGGTTGCTAGCTTCATATATTACACAACCGTTTGATTTTAAACACAACCGAAATAACAGTATTCAATGTCTACAAAAATAACATTTGCAACCATGTACTGACCTAACTTCAATCATGGAATTCAAACATTGAAAGGACGTTATTACGACGGTCAGATAGACGTCAATTTTGACCTCACACAAACATTATAATTTGGTCATTTTTCGACGTCTAAATAACTTCAACCGCGACGTCCTGTCGACGTCCATTCAACCAGACAAATCATGGTCAGACTGACGTCATAATTTGACTATATATGGACGTTAGATTTCGGTCAGGTTTTCGACGTCTAAATAACCTACTTTTTCAACCATATTCTGACCTAAATTCAACCAACAATCTGACGTCCTGTAGACGTCCATGTAACCAGTTAATCATGGTCAGACTGACGTCATAATTTGACTATAATCGGACGTTAGTTTTCGGTCATGATTAGCAGTTAATCATGGTCAGACCGACGTCACAATTTTGACCACATATCGACGTTAGAATTTGGTCATGTTTTCAACGTCTAAAAAACTTACACTTACAACCGCTACGGCAACCAAAAAACAACGTCGGAGTTGGTCGGAATCTGACGTCAGATAGACGTTAAATCGACCAAAAATGCCTGCTGGGTAGTTCATGTTGCATCAAACACCACTCTGACTATAATATGGATTGTCCCTCTACAACTCCCTACCTTAAAAGGAGATTGGCGCGCGCGTCGCGCGTACTGAGCGATGGCGCGCAGAATGCACCTGGGCGTTGTGTTGTGAATTTAGGACAATAAAATACTGACTCACTGGTAGTATTGTGCATGCTTATGTACGAGAGTATTATGAACGTTCAACCAAAAAAATATATGTTTAATGATTAAAGGGAATATACATCATTTGCCTTTGCTGTAATTTTCAGAAATGGATGGAATTGGGGGGTTGGAAATATATAGCAAATATAGTTACACTGACTTTTTTGAGGTTTTGGGTTCGAAAATGCTATAAAAACCAAGAAAAACAATCATTTTCCTGTAGTCTGGTTCCCTGACTCCATTTAAGAATAAACAGAGCAGTTTACATATATTGGGGAATTGTAAGGTCAGGGAACTAGTCTAGCTGGCTTGTACCCGTTCATAGGTGTGTAATCGATTGCAAACAAGTGTGATGGTCAACTGGGGCCAGTATTTGGGAAAAAAGCCAGTTTTTTCCAACGCTGATCGGCCGATCAGCGTTGGAAATTGATACAAAAATACCAGTTTTCTTGAAAATGACAGTATACCAGGTGCCATGATTTTACAGGATGCTTTACACTGTCATTCACTAACAGTCCAGCAAGGTATTTCAAAATGATTTGGTAGTTTTATTTTTTGATGTTTGCCAATGTTGTATTTTCCCTTTAATGTAAACGATTAACATTAATTCATAAACACCTAAGACAGTTTAGCCATTCCTATTGGTCGAAAGCCCGTCACGTGGCCGGTCTTAACGGATGGTAAAGACATGGCTAGCTGGTCTAAAACACTTTTCCAGTGTCACATGAAATTTCGACTCCTAAAAATCCTGTGCCTTTTATTGTTTTATTGGTTGAACATTCACAATCCTCATGTAGGCATGCGCAATACTACCAGTGAGTCAGTATTTTGTAGTCCTTAATTCACAACGAAACGCCCCAGGTGAATGCAATCTGCGCGACACCGCGCAGTACGCGCGACGTGCGCGCCAATCTCCATAAAAGGTCTTGTTTACATCTTATTTGCGAGCTGGACACTCCATTATTTAGCTAGAGGGATGTTCCAAAAACATGAAGTGAACTTGTTGAACAAAATCGGGGTTTTGTGACTGAAAATTTTAGATTTCTTGAACGAAAAGGTATTTATGAATGGGAATAAATATGTGGTTGGTCGGTATGAATTAGGCTTGGGTAATTATCAGCACCCAGACTCCAAGCGGTCTTAAACAGAGTAATTAAACCTACAAAACATCCCCTTAATAAGATGACAGCATCTCTTAGCTGGCTGTTACTTGCTTGCATAGATATAATGCTAACATTGCTATCACCTTTTGGAGGAAAATATATATATTTTTTTATATAAGGTTTTTAATTAAAAACTGTACAAGAGAAGCTTGTAAATGCCAAACGCTATCTACTTGTAATTTTAAATGTTCATTAATATTGTTGTGTCAACACTTACTTTTTATTAAGCCTCGATCGCTTTTGGACCACTCCCATTTAATAATATCGCTGGCAAAATTGTAATTAGATAATCGAATTTGTTTGGTTGGAAAGTAAAACAATATTGGTTGTGTTAAAATAAACTTCGTATATTAGTGGTAGTTACTGATTATGTAATTCGTAAAATTAGTCAAAGTTATTGTGAGGTTTGAAGCTATAATTTGATTTGAATGCGATGTACGGTGGCAAGGACCAAGGTTTGGTGTATTTTTTTTCTGAGGTGGTAGCTCATAAAATCAGCAATTGAGTCTGAAAAAATTATCATGTATCAATCTGATTGAGCACAGATTAGAAGTATTAACATTATTTGCACAATCTTGCACTTATAGAATCTGGTTCTCCGTGATTCGACAACATAATTTTATCTTGAATTAACGTACATTCAGCCCGAGTTTCAGATGATCGTTTGTAAATCTTCAAATTTGTTGTTGACGTTTTAAAACATATTTACTCATAACATAGTCCGTGTTCTCTTGTGTTAACTATTTTATATTTTAAAGTTGATTTAGTGCTGCATGCCAACAACTTTAAGTGATGCAGTTCGGTGATTCAGGAAAGAACGTTTCAGTTATATCGTAATGAATGGTAACCTTTACATATTGATTCAAGTGATCAACGTTCAGAAAGTTGTCTACGTTTTCAATTCTGCAAGGATATGAAGTAAACTTTATTTTCATTTTTGCGCGACAGGTTAAAAATATTGTTTTCTTTTTAGCGGCAGACAAAGCTGGTTTATTAATTTTGATATTTATAGAACTCTTCGATTGAGTAAGATTCGAATACTGAAAGATAATGCATGTAAAGCAAACTGTATCTTTTTAATTTTACATTTTAATGTGGTATCGAGCATGACTTATCACCAAGCCTGGATTGCTTTTGAACCACACCACTTAAACAATCTTGCTTGCAAAACTGAAATCAGAAATTTGACAAGTCAAGGGGTTAGTTTTGTCAGAAAGTCACTTCTGTTTTGGAATAGTAAAACTGGTACGTGACAGTTAATGATTAGGCAATTCGTCAACTTTCTTCGAAATTATGAACATGGTCGAAGGCATAATTTGTTTTGAATGCGATTAATGCTCGCAAGTACTGTTGTTTGGTGTTTATCTATGGCGGTAAATCGTACAGAAGATATAGAGTGAAAAAAATGTCATATATCAATCTAATTGTGCACGTTTTATCAGTCTAAATATTGTTCGCACTAGCCTTGCATTGTACATTGCTTTCGCGATTTTTTAAGATTAGCTTTGGCAAGATTTTGTAAAGGTTTTCTTACCTATTTTAATACTTGTATCACACAAATTACCAGAAACGAAATTCGATGACAACAATATTGATATGAATGACCAACACAATAAATAAAATAATTGCTTTATTCAAATCATTGCCCATCACCACAGAAGACGAGTTTACCGAATTTAGGACGAATCGGAATGCTTCCAACTGAATTATGCTGCATTTATTTTTACTAGATTTTGTTGATCAGACCAAATTTGGTTAACAAAATAGCTCATAGTTGAATAAGACAGTTGTACCAAAATGACGTGCAATAAATATCGATGAAAATCAACTTATTTATAAACTACAAACCAGGACATCGCTCGTGCAAAATCTCGAACGAACTTTTTAGTAACAGGTGTATCGTAATGTATGGTAACGTTTACAATGCTGCAAGGATATGAAGTAAACTTTATTTTCACTGGTTAAAACTATATTATTTGTTTGGGCGGCAGACAAAGCTGTTATATTAATTGTGATATTTAAACCCCCTTGAATGAGTTGCGATTTGAAAACTGTAAAATAATGCCTAAAAAGAGCAAACTATATCTAAATGTTAATATGGTATTGAACATGACTTATCACCAAACCTCGATTGCTTTCAAACCAAACAACTTCAATATTCCTGCTTGCAAAACGGAAAGTAGACATTTGACAAGTAAAGGGATTAGTTTTCTGGGAAGATTACTGCTGGTAAGAATTGCTTTAGATTGTAAAGTTTGTTGTTGGCTTGAATGCAACGTGCACTAGCAAGAGCAATTGGTGGTAGCTCATACAAAAGCTATGGCGTGAAAACAATGTCATGTGTAATTTTTATATTTTCATGTTTATGTGTAGTTCTTTTTTTGTTGTTGCTATAATTATTACCAAATTTAGTGGTTGTTAAAAATATTGTTCGACAAATTATTCAATGGGACTTCTTTTCTTAAGCTGCAGAGGAGATATCATTATGACTCAATCCTGTCACATTTTAGGTGAACGTTTGTGATTTCTCAAATTTTAGCTGACTTTTCAATTACTTAAAACAGATTCGGAGTTCTCTAGATCTTAGAAGTGTGATACGTGTTATAGCTTTTGAAGTTGATTCAAATAGTCACTCGCAGCGCGGGACATATGAAATTGTTAGTTTTTTTTCAGGCCAGAAAGTTCG